CATTTCCAAATAAAATTTACAAGGTGGAATTTTTGTAAACTAGTGCTTGTCATGGAGTAGAAGCCCTCGTTTCCTTTCAGTAAATTAGGCCAATCAGGAGCCTTTAAGTTGAAGAATAGGAAAGCCCTGATCATTCCAGATCTCACTTAAGGAATCTAGACAGAGCATTAATGACCTCAGGTCATATATTAGTATAATCAACACACGGGCAAGTTATTTCACTCACTTCTATACATGATAACTCCTAACCCCACTGCTCATTTATCAAACACATGAGAAATGTAAAGGGGTAGACAAACTCATCCCTATCACTAGGGGAAAAAATAATGTACATACCTTAAGGCATTATTTAAGGCAGGCCAAAGAAATTATCTTTGTACACAAAAGCTGAAATAGTATAAACTTGGAAGGCAATAGGTTATGAAAACCCTATAAATTTATGTTCAGCCTTCCAAACAATGTTCTCCTTCCACCCTTCTCCCCTCCCCAATAAACTGAGACACAAAGTCTGGGATTTGAGAATTACAGCTAAGATCCTCGCCAAAGTGACCAAATTACAATCAATGCCGAAGGCTTTTGGCACCAGGAAGTTTCAACAGACTAGTGTCTGCTGGACCATCACAACCCCCCACCCCCAAAGTGCTTGGGGATTAGCCATTATCTCATTAATTCTTAAGAAATATCTACTAAAAAGACACAGAGAGGAATGCTTTTATATATTTTACAGAAGAGGAAACAAACAGAGATGATTTATAATTCAAAGTCAGATCATGGCATCTCAAGAGAGGAGGAATATTGGCAGGTCATACTGATTTTCATAAAAGTGTTGGGCAAGTTTAGAATGCAATTGGAACGTTTATCAGAGTAGCTATTTCCTTGACAGGAACCGGGAGAAAGAATCTCAGACAATGAAGGCAGATTTCTGGCTCCTTGTCAAGTTGCTGACCTACCTTGCCCAGGAACAAATGTAACTTAGAGACAGTGTAAATAAGGGCATATTGACAGTAGAAACTCATTTCACAGTGCAAGGAGAGTATGTAAGCCAACGTGAGTCGAACTACTAGGTGTCTGAATGCATCATTAGAGTAAGTTGTGGAATACCTCTACAAATACTGAAAAACAGGAATGGTCTAGAGATTATCATTTGCAAATAGTTTCAGGAAACACATGGATGTTTTAAGACCATGACAATCTTGGGAATCAATAATGTTCAAGAATTTCTTCTGAAAGCTTTCACACTGGTTCATAAACTAAGATTAATATAAAGTTCCTAAGAATACTTTAAGTATTTTCATAATCATAGTTTTATTTTATAACAACCAGGTTAAGGAGTTATCAATTTCATAGAGAAGAAATCAGTGTGAGAAGGCTAAATGATGGGCTCTAAAGGTTATATATCAGAGAGGAAAAAATAAGAGATAGAACCAAGAGCTGGTGGTAGGACAAGTGCTGGTATTTTGAGCTCTGGTTCTCAATTTGGTTACTGCCATGTTAGTGGCAGAGTGACCTGGTATCACAAATGAGAATGACACCTACACCTCAGCAAGCAATAAGAATTTGCCATAATTACTAATACATTTATTTTATTATAGCTAATATTTAAAATGGAATCTACAGAGTCAAAGGAAAACACCAGCTCCAAATCTACATACATTTCTTTGCTAGAGGTATACATAAAGCACATCTTTTTACTCAAAGATTTGGCTCCCTATTGGAAGACTCTGAAGAAAAATGTTGGATAATTTCACAACATAGAAAATACACTGGATTCTCACAAGTGTAGCAATATTTTGTTGATGATATTAGTAATAGCTACTCTCATTCATAAACTTCCAATCAATCATCTGAATAAAAGTTGTTACCATCATCAGTGTAGCAAATTATCATTTAAATACAGGGAAAATGCAGACGCGGACACCTGCAAAGGTTCTTATACATCTTTCTCAAGTATTCATCATTGTCAATGTCTTCCCAGGTAAAAGTGTGCAAACTCCCGGAAGACACTTCATCTTTCTAGTTCTCAGTTTCTCATGTGCCAAATGCGGGAACTGAATTAGATGATAGGCAAGGTTCCCTCTAATTTTTAGACTGTGTGATTACTACAGAACAGGATCCTTGCCCAGTTTGAGAATGTATATAACTGCTTACTTTAAACCAGTGCCAGCAATAGGAAATTAAATACTATTATAGAATTTGAAACTAGAAACTAGTACTCTTGACAATTCTGTCCATTATTTCTGAAATATGAATGTGGAATGTACAGAGGGATGAAGATCAGCTCTAATAAAGAGATGTTCACATTATGTCTTAGTGCTGGCTGAGCCCCTACAGCCAAGATCCAGAATGTTGGATTTTTTTCCAACTCCAACCTACAGTTTTTCTCCAAGTCAGTCATTATAAGAAGACCTATTTGGCAAGTGTTCTCCTGGTGTTCTTATATGAGAACCATTCCATGATTAAGCTAAATGAGTTGGCCCCAATGCTGAAACTCCTCAGCTTCTCACAACCACACACACACACACACACACACACACACACACACACACACCTTTCATTTTCATTTCAAGAGAAAAGAAAACAAACATCTGGCTCTTGGAAGAGACCAAAGGATCCATCTTGATGTTGGAAATCTGGCCATGGTAGTGGAGGAAAGATTCACAGGAGACAGATTTAGAGTATTTTGGCATTGATTCAGCCTGCTATTTTTAAAAAAACTTAAAACTTTTGCTCTAAGTTAGCCCACAAAGCTCACTGAAAATTCCAAGCGGCATCCTTACCATAAAGCCCAGTAGACTCACATTTCTGCCTCTACTCACAGAAAAAAAGTGAGCACTATACATGTGCATAGATTCTATGGGGTGATGGCAAGCTCACTGCTCAGAGAGCTTAAAGAGTTCAAAGGAAGGGTATTCTCCCCCTCAGAGGGAGAAACAAAATAAATAGAATTACTAACTGCCTTAGATCCTTTGTTGAATAGGCCAGCAATTATGAGATAAGAAATAAGAATAAGTGACCAAATTCTTTGATGTTTTAAAAACAAATATTCATTCACCAAAAAGAATTAGTTTTATGAGTAAACAACATGTTACCAAGCATCCAGAAAGAAACAAAAGGACTAACAGCAATCTAGGAAGAAATAGAGAACACAAGTCAGTCTACCATGACATTGTGTAAGAAAACATCCAGCGAAGGTTCTGGTTAGTCAGAGAAGAGGGCAAACTGAGGCTGGCTTTGGAACATAAAGATTCTTCTTCTGCCCTTCATACAGAAATAATAATCTTTCGCTTTCATAAATAGCATTTAAGCATCTCCATCTCACACGAATCTAACTGCATGGGGATAATTTTAAAGTACATCAGTTGACTTCTTGCCTGGAACTTACTGTTCTATTAGAAAAATTCAAATTGTCCCACTCAATATGTCCTCTTAAAAGATTTGTTCTGAAATTTATTGGAATCATATTTTTTTTTCATGACAGCACAATTCCAGTGACCTTGAGAGAGGAAAGCCTTTGATCATGATTTTTATCCATAATTCAACTCAGTTGGAAAATCTGATTTGATTAACAGAAAACTGCATTCATACTTTTTCCCCCTGTAAGTTGCAACTGATTTCATAATCATAACATTACTTGAGAAATGAACTGATGGATGAACCCTGCTATCTAATTTAAGGAAGGTTTGATGATAATAACATCATTCAATATCATACACTTTCAAAACACTTCCTCAAACCCTCTTCGATTGGAATTTCACAACATCCTGGTGAGCCAGGTAGATTCAGATATTGTCAATCTTGTTTTATAGAAAAGGGAAAATCTGAGAAGGAAGACAACCAGCCCGAGCTCACACAGCAAATCAATAGCAGGACCAAGAACTATACTTTCGTCTCAACACCATCTCTGCTAGTATCAAAACACTAATGCAGAGAATTAGTAGTAGTGGCAGCAAGTGGGAAAAAAGCAAGAGCAACTAGCACCTGTTGAGGGCTGACTGGGTGCCAGGCACTATGCTGAGCTGATGCATATATTATGTCATTTGATAACCACCTAGAATAACATTATGAGTAGATGTCACCTCATGCTATGGTTAGGGGACCAAGGCACAGACAGCAGAAGGACCTAGTGCCTGTGATTTAGACCACACAGCCAGCTGTGGCAGAGGTGCAATTCAACTTCCTGTCTAACTGCCTGACAACCTGAAACTCATTTTCTCGCGGGTGGCTGGCAGCTCTCAGTTTTCAAGTCATGGAGTCTTTGCTCAGAAGTCACCTTCTCTATAAGGCCTACCCCAAACACTCCATTTAAAACTGCAAAGCCCATCCCCACCCTGCCAAAGTGATCCTCTTTACCCTGCTCTACTATGTGACCTACACCATTTGTTTTTAATGTTGATTGTTAATATAAGATACACAGAGCAAGAACATTTGTGTTTTTTTTTCTTTTCACCAATATATCCCAAATGCTTAAACAGTGCTGTCCAATAGAACTTTTTGTAATGATCAAAATGTTTTATGTCTGCACTAGCAATATGGTAGCCACATAAGAATAAAACTGGAAAGTGGCTAGTGCAACTTAAGAACTAAATTTTTTATTTTATTTAACTTCATTCGTTAAATAACCACACATTGCAGGCCTAGGACAATGCCTATGACAATAAACTCCAATAAATACTTGTTAAATAAGCAAATTTATAAATAAGACCTATTTTCCATATAGTCTACAGACTACTTTGACTAACAGCAAATTAAGTTTTGTATTTTTCCCAGCAGAACTAACAACTGAAAAAAGTCCAGATTAAATTTTGAAAATTCAGAAGATATGACTAAAACAGCAAGCACAGATTTCTTATCCTATTGACTCTTTTTTGGTATCTATGACTCAAAACCTTCCAAAACATTTTATGAAAACAGAGGGAAAGCAAACCAGCAGCACATAACACATTCCCATGAATGACAAATGAATATATGTAATTATATCTATTACTATAATCACACAATACCTTTTTGACCTTGTTTTTTTTCTCATAGGTCTCTGACAGAGGTTTTTTCTTCTGCTGAATTGTGTCTTTGGAGAATAAATACTCAAATTCACTGGTATCCCGAATATCAGGTTCTTCTAAGGAATCCCATAAGGTTGGTGTTGCATTTTGGCTTAAAAGAGAAAACAAGTTAACTTTAAAAACCAAAACAGAAGAAAGTACAATACAATGAAATCTCTAATTCATTTTTTATTTCATTTAAAAAACACACACACATAAGATCCTAATAAAGCTTGGAGAAAAACATTTCATATTACACATTTTTAAGTCAAAATATACTATGAAATATTTAAAACACACACACACACACACACACACACACACACACACACACACACACACACACATCCAAAAAACAGGATGGTTATTAGATACATAGAAAACACTCTAGAGAAACCCCTCGGGACTAGATATCCTGGGAGTCAGGCTGTTGGGGCTAACCAAGCTGCTCCTTTCTCAGTCTGTGGCATTTCCATGATGGGTAAACATGGCCATCATAGAAATGAATGCTGAAGAGATAACCAATTTTGAGGCACTGATAGCGTAATTCTTAAGCAGACTGCAATGGAGTACTTAGGTAAAGATCTGCCCCCTCATTGGACTTTTTCTATTAATTTTAAATATAGTTTAACTCAGATAAACTCAGCGCAGGGCCCTTAATATGTGAACTGTCTATGCCCACTTAAAAAATACTTAGTGTATAATATTCTCACCCCCCTAAACACATATTAATCACAGAAAACAACCAAACAACTCCACTGCACCAGCCCCCCACAGGGATTTCAACCAAAGCAGCTACCGGGAGACTGTGTTTTATTTCATCCTGTAGAAACAGGGGCACCCTAGTTTTAAGACAGAGAAAGAAAAGCTGTTGAAAATCAGGCTCAGCAGAAAGGCCTCTGAGAGCTCATGGAGATGGGTTACTTCTGCAGGCTCCACCCCCAACAGAACACATCTTCTCTCAAATGTCTTTCTTTTTTTTTTTCGTGTCCGGCAACGGATCGCAACCCTCAGTGTCGCGCCCTTACCGGACTGGGGCCAGCAACGGGATCGCAACCCTGGCGCTGCGCCCACACCTCACTCAGCCAGTGAGCGGGAACTGGTCTGTATGTGGGATCCGAACCCTCGGCGGGAGTGCCGCCGTGCTCCCAAGCGGCGCACTGTAGCAGTGCGCCACCGGGCCGGCCCTCAAATGTCTACTTTCTTATCTTCATTTTAAACACCATTAATGCCCACGGGGGGGGGGGGAGTCCCATCTACATATTTATTGATTTTCAAACATATGTATATGCTATGATCTGTAACATCTAAAAATATTTACTTTTGTTTCAACATGTGCTTTCTCAGTCAATAAAAACTAAAAAGATCAGTTGGTTAGAGCTTGGTACTGAAAACACCAAGGTCCAGGGTTTGATCCCTTCCCTGCACTGACCAGCCACCAAAAAAAAAAAAAAAAAAAAAAAAAAAAAAAAAAAAAAAAAAAAAACCCCAAAAAAAAAAAAATTTTTTTTTTTTTTTTTTTAAACAACGACTATTATTATATGGGGTGGCTCACAAAATTTTTTGACACAAGGCAATTTGCATATTCAAAACAGCCAGCAACAATGGCTTTCAGATTTGTATGTTCACATTTTGTTATAGGTCTGCCTTTCCCATGAAATATGACATTTTGGTACTGGTCACATTCACTTCCTCTCCCTTCCACTTTTTTAAAATAAATTATAATTTTTCCAATATAATATTTGAACCATTTAATAAGTTATAAAGTATAATAAAAAAAAGGAGTAAGTTATAAAGTATAACAATAAGATGAACACCTGGGAAATCATCACCCAACCCAAAGGCTGGAACATTTCCAATGAAGTACAACCACGAATGTGTCCTCCTTTTGCCACGTGATTCTGTCACTCAACTTCAGTTTGAAACACCAACACCATTAATGTTAAGTGCTTATTTCAGCTGCACTGAGGAATGGGGATCTTGACTGGGGAAGAGAGCCAGGTAATTTTAGTATGTATTCAGCATGTTAAGGTTCACTGATCTGAGACTCAGGAAGGTTCTGGCAGCTAAGGAGAGGTGCCAGAGGGAGATGATGGGAGGCTTTAGGCAGGCTGCTCAGACCTACCTCCCTCTCCTGCATCTGTACTGCTTGGCCCCAGCTCCAAGGACTCTGCACGGGCCAGTATGACTAGTGTTAAAATTCACTCATATTCTGGAGTAAATTGGCTTTGGGAGTCAAGTTGAGCACCTCATCACCATTTACAACATTGTTTCTACAGGAAAGGCATTTGCAATACTGAATAAAAGAATTTTGTAACACTACTTCTCAGTGAGTTGGGGGCAGGTAGCATTCAGCAGAGCAGTAACAAGGACCTGCTCACAATAGATGACCTGCCACAACGGTTAACTGTTTTTTGACCACTGAATATACTTTCCTAGGTCAAAAGAGAGGAAAAGAGGGCTGGGGGTTGGGGCTGGGGGAGAAGAAAAACCTTATTAGGAAGCTAAAGAGGTAGTTAGATGAGGATTTCTTTTTCTTTAACTAAATTTCTCTTTCCTACTTTAGAAATCAGAAAACAGACACCAAACTAGGCAAAATGGTAAAAGAAAGAAAAAAAAGTCAGTTCATGCTAGTAGTGAAAAGCAATCTTGTTGCATGAGAGGCAATATACACAGTATGTTGAAAATTCACATTTTGCTGCTCCTTGTTCCCCAGAAGGTCAAGACCAAAGGTTTTATCATGTATACATTATGCACTGTGCTTATCCCTCTGGTTGCACAAAATATTAAAATACCATTTCACCTCCTTTAAAAGAACACATCGCAAATAATTTTACTTTTGTTCATAACAAATACTACAAAGACTCTTTAGACCATTTTCATTTAAAAGAAGTAGTCATGCTCAGAGGTACAAAATACTCTGAGGGACCCATACTAAAAGAGACTATGTGTGGTGCTGGCAGGAAGTGGCAGTGTTGGAATCTCAACACATCTCAGAGGGCAGCCCCTTGCACCCCAGTTCAGGTTCAAGGCTGACACGTCCACCGAGCAAGGCTCTCCTGATGTCCCATTCACCTACTTTTCATTTTGCTCAAAAGTGAAGCCCTAGATTTATGGTGCAACTAACGAGAGGTTGAGTATTGTTTTCCTTCTCAAAATGGCCAGCTACATAAGGAGGAAAAACGTAGACAATGACCATCTCCAGCTTTCCTTTATACCACTTTGAATAGCAGACAAAAGGCCCCTATCTCCCAGTGGTACTGTTATATGTCTGCTATGTCCTATGGTATTTTGTTGCTTGTAAAGTCTCCCAGGGAGTGAGAGACAGGTGTGGGACAGCTCCATGTGAAGGCAGAACATACCACCCGACAGCTGACAGATGGGACTCATCACCCTGGAATGGATGCACACTAATTTAAGAACACTAATAAAGGAACACGACTCAATAAATATTCTGGGAAATTATTTCTTAGGAAATATCTGAGTCTTGAATGGGAAAAGGGGAATACCAGTACTTTAGTTAATGACAGGGGCTATTTCAGGATCATCTCATGCATTTTTTACCATTCATTTGGGGAATTATAAAGTATCAGCATTTGAAAAAAGTATCAGGATATTCCATAAATAAACTCTTGGCTCTTATTTTTTGGGGAGAGGAAAGGGGGCAATATGAAGCACATAATCAACTTAGTTCACCATATGCTTAGTTTAAAGGTATCCCCCACTCCTCCTATAGTGATTTCCAGTTTTTTCATAATTGTGAATTGCATATTATTTTGTTTAATATCCTGCCTTCCCTAAGCAAAATGTTAATATAAATTTAAAAATTCACCACCACATCTTGATTTGGGGAGTAAGTTTGAAAATGTGTTCTATATTTGATGTTCTTTGAAAACACATAAACTTCAAAATTAGAAAGTGGTCAAGAAACAACCACATCTCCCTCACTGTCCTGACAGACTCGGAAATGAGGCAGAAGAAATTAGACTCAAATCTGTTTGACTGGAAGTTTCCATGCAACCACATCTTGCTGCCTTACATTTCCAGCTTAACAACCTGTACATATGGAAGATGCTTTTTAGCTATCCACATAATGGCACTTTCTATGAAGGGCAGAAAGGTTTACAGATGTGAGAGCATTTAGCAGTGGGAAGAACCAGAGTTCAAGCAGAGAGTTTATATTTTAAGACTCCCCTCTGATCTGAAGAACTGATAACTCAGCCATGTCTGTTTAATAAAAAACGAAAAATAAACATATCTGTCCAATATTCAGATGGTAGGGTTGATGATACCATCTAAAAACAAGACAGTGAATCAGAAAAGGTATTCTAAAAATCCTCGGTGAGCCTACAGTACAGATTCAGGCTCAATTTCTTTACGATTGCTCATTAACTGTTGGGATGTTGGAGAAGGCCCTAGAGCTCAGACCTGGACGCCAGTCTATAAAATGGAACATTTTCCTTAGAGAAGAACCTGAACCCGAACACATTATTTCTCCCGGTATTAATCCATACAGAACACAGACAGGACCTGGTGGCGACAGACATCGTCCCCAGACGCCCTGACCTTGTGTATCCCAGGCACTCCCTGCATCACATTTGAGAATGTGAAAGCTACGCTTCTCAAGATACTGAACTGGCAAGAATAAAACATCGCTCGGTCAAACCCCCGGGAATTCACAAGCTGAGAGTGGGCCAGCGGAGAGCTTACCTCCCATCACTTATTTGTATCCTATTCCAGTACAAAGGCTTCATGGGACAACTGGGCTCGATGGCTGGTTTTCGAGGACACTGGCTGGAAGAAGAGCCGAGTCCGAAGAAGAGTCCAGGAGGAGGTGGGGGTGCGAGTCCTGGGGGTGCTGGAGGAGGCGGCGGCCCCCCGCTGTTGGGCAGAGCAGAGTTGGGAAGCGGTGGGGGGGGAGGCGGCGGGGGAGGTCCCCCACTTGGAAGTGGAGGTGGCAGGGGAGGAGGGGGAGGCGGCCCAGGAGGTGCTGGTGACAAAGGCCCAAGTCCAGGCGGGAGGGGAGGAGGGGGCGGGATGGGCGCTGCAAGGGGAGGTGCGGCAGGAGGAGGTGATGCCTTCTGCTGATTCAGTGAGATGCTTTCCGCAGACTGAAGTGCTGCAGGGATGTCTTTGTTGTCATTGGGGGGAGAGAGCTGGCTTAACGAGGAGATATTCAGCTTTTTGGGCACTATTTGCTGACTTCTGGTGGCCCTGCTCTCGCTTTCGCAGGGTTTGAGGAAGGTCTCTCTGTCTGTCTGCACGCACACGTTTCTGTAGGTCTTTGGAGGGCAGTCGCCGTCGGTGGAGATGCACGCATCTCTCATCCCTTCGCAGCCTCGCCGCCATGGGCGCTCCAATTCGCGTTTGAGATTTTCAATAGTTTCTTCTAGTCTCGCTGTTATCACTGCATGCTCGCCCCGTATATGAAATGTCTGAAGTTCAAACTGTGCCTGTGAGGGGGGGAAAAAGTGGAAAGTAAAGGGTTTATAAAAAATATCGGAAACAAAAAATTCAATAATGCCATCGTTTATGCCACCATAGTGCAGCCCACATAAATGCAGGGACATTCCTGCTAGAGTCCCATAGGGTGTCAATTTCACTTTATGAATTTTCCAGGGACCTAAACAGTCCGGGGTTGAGGCGTAATTTCATCCAATCTGAGCTCATGGGAGATAATTACTATGGATTAAGCCTTAAAGTAAACCTGTTACCTAAGAACTTGCACCCGGTTTTAATAACAAATGCAAAACAAAACTTTTAATAAAGGTTTGGACATGCTTGAATATATCTTTTATTTAACTTTTGGTTTTGGTTTGGAAAGAGAAAACTATAAGGAAAAAAAAACAGGTTTGGAGGTCCTGCTGGCTTAGAGCTGCTGTTCTTAGTCTTCCTTAAAATGTCTCTATCATGTGTCCAGGACAATGCAGCAGAAACAAAAAGGCGTGAGGAGGAGCAATAACACCTATTTTTAAAAAGTTTCCATATCGGGCCGGCCCGGTGGCGCACTGGAGAGTGCGTCGCTTGGGAGCGTGGTGGCGCTCCCGCCAAGGGTTCGGATCCCATGTGGAGACCGGTTCCCGCTCACTGGCTGAGCGCGGTGCGGGTGCAACACCAAGGGTTGCGATCCTGTTGCCAGTCCCCGGTGCAGGCGCAACACCGAGGGCTGCGATCCTGTTACCGGTCAGTAAGAGAGACAAAAAGGAAAAAAAAAAAAGTTTCCATATCAAAGCTGCCCAAGATTAGTATTTGTGTCTATTCCATTATAGTAATAAATATAAATACATATATAAAGGATATTAAAATATGCTGTTTTCTTCTACATACCCAGCATTTTAAATTATAAGATAGCAGCCTTTCTTAATACTCATTTCTTCATTTACTTTAATGAACTGAATCTACGGATTTTATACTTATTAGTGCAGACCTAGTGTACTCTCATTTATTAACCAGTCCATTTTTCAGCATTCAAAACCATTTAGCCTATTCCAGTTAACTGGGAAGCAATCAAATTTAGAATATTATTAGTTTCCAAAACCTAATTTAGCAATAATTAAATATTTTTGGTGAATTGAATTTCTGCCTCCCCCACAAGATTATAAACTCAAGATGAAATCAGTGACATATTGTCTTTATTTCTGTATCCCAGCAGCTAACACAGCAAGTACATAGCATTGAAGAATGTATGTATAAAAAAACCACTGTAAAAGTTATATTTACTGTCATTGTCCCAAGAGCCTTCCTTACGGCTAATCAAAACATTCTTTACTATAATTTCAGCCCACAAATATCTACAACACTTAAGTATATACAATTACAGATCCTTTTTGCATTGAAAAAGTAATGAAATACTTTCAATAGCCTAATCAGGCAAGATAAAGACATAGGAAGCTTCTCTACCTTCATTAACATGTCTTTAAAAAAAAAAAAAAAAAAAAAAAAAAGCTCAACATTCCCCTAATATTCATTCTCACGAACCAACTCTTAAATAGCTATGGTCGGTAGAATTTACCGACAGGTGTTTCTAAAACTAATCTTCTCATATGTTGACATTCTAGTCCTGAGCCAACCCTGAAGGAAGTAGCAAGTTCAGGGCTCTATTTCTTGTGTAGCACAGGGTTAAGTTCCTGCGTTTGGTTCACATCTTGGCTTAGCTACTTGCTAGCTCCATGACCTTGGGCAGGGAACACTGTGTCTCCAAGCCTGAGCTTCTGCAAGTGGAAAGTGAGGATAATAGTGAGCGATCTCCAGGGCTTCTATAAAGGTAAAATGAAATACTTCATATGAAACAGTAGGCATTATGCCTGGAACACAGTAAGTTCTGAATAAATGTTACTGTTAGTTACTGTTAATAATATTAGAGCAAGAAACTAACAAATTTCTAATTATTTTTATAAATTTTCAAACAATGCCACTTTTGTTGAGTGACAGCCAAAAAACTAGAAGGAGCTTAAGCAATCAGGATAAGCAGTGTAATACAAAAGTTTAAGTTTACCCAACTTTTCATGAGTACTACTACCAATGACCTAAAAGTAATTTCAATATTTATTCAACTACGTGGCCAAGATCATCTTTTTTTCCCTGTATCATACCCATCTCCATCTTCATCTCTCTTTCTCTCCCCGTCCATCTCCACTCACATTCTGAATTATTCACCAATATCTTAATTTACTCCTAACAACTAGTTCAGTTCTGTTACAACAAACTAACTCTTGGTATTGTTTCCAATTAAACCTTCTTCTAAGGTTAAGAGTCAAATAATATTGATGAAGCAGTAAAATTACTCAATCCTCAATTTCGTAATGATATGATAAAGTTGCAAAGACATATCCCATGGAGAAACTTTCCCTTTGTTGGGCAAATGGAATGTATCAATGCAAAAGAACTGGTCCCCACCTCTCGTCCTTTCCACCTCTTAACCAATGATCTTTTAAATGTGCTGGAGCTGTTACATACACCGATATATGTTTTGGTGGCTCTAAACTGAATGCATTTATTTAGTGTTGTGGACAGAACACAAATTGGGCAAGTTAGTTAACCTCACTCTACCTTAGTTTTCTTGTAAGTAAAATGGGATAATAATGGAATGCAGTTCACAGAGAAGTTACGAGAGAAAGATGAATTAATATATGTCAAATAAAATATAGAAGATCATTTGGTGCTTAGCGAGTATTATGTAAGTTTGCTATCATTATTGTCTCCTTAATACCCAACAGATTAGAGGCCACTGGCCACATCAGCTGGCTGTGGACTCTCAGCACCATGCTGCTCTACGCTCCTAAAAGCAAAAACAGAGATTACAAAATCCTTCCTTAAACCCCCTCGAGCTGCTATGCTCTTACCCCACCTCTGCTCCTTCACAGCAGACCTTTTGGAAAAAAAGCACTCAATCCTTGCTCTGTTTTTTCATCCATGCACTTTTCAAACAATTACAATTGGCTTCCAACCCCACTGCCCTATTCAAACTCCGTGATTTGACTGTTACATTCAGTCAGCGCTTTTCAGTGATTTTGCCCTCTCTGCCACATTTGCCAGAGTTGATTGTTACAGTGCCTTGAAATTCTGTTTCCCTGAACTTCTGATTCAACCCTCCTCTTCTTTTTCCTCCTACTTTTCTCCTCTCTCCAGTCAACATGTGGACTCCTCTTCCTCCATTCATCCCTTAAATGTGGCTGTCTACAGGCATCTTCCTGCCATTTTTTCCTTCTCACACCACACACTCTCTAGGTGATCTCATGCATCCATGTGGTAAATGGTACTCATTCACTGTATACTGGTGCCTTCTAAATTGATACCTTACGGCCTAATTCCAGCTATCCTCTGGATTCATCTACCTGCACATTTAACCAACCACCTCAGACTCAGCATTTTTGAAGCTGAACTCATTGTGGCCAAACGCCAGTTTGTTCTTCTTCTGAAATTCCCTCCTTGCAGTTAATGGCATCATCACCTTCCAGTCATCACATCCAGAAACCCAGCTGTCACACTGGATTCCTGGCCCTCTCTCACTGCAACTGACTGTTTTTCAACAGGTTTCACTGATTTCTCAGATTACTTTCTTTCTTTGCATGTCCCCCCTCCCCCCACCTCAACCTTTCACTGGGTCCTCTTTACCTGGACAATGGCAAGAGCCACCTAACTAATTTCCCTGACCCAAGTTTAGCTACCCTAGTTCCAGAAAGATTTTTGTGAAAATGGAGATCTTCATTCCTTAAACAGTCCTTCAATGTTTAGCCATTACTTACACTGAAACATTTTATTATTTGAACCCTGAAACATTTTAGCATAGACATACCAACAGCTCTTCTTATCTGTCTTCTGCCTACTTTTTCCACTTTTGGTTCCTTCCCCTTTCCCAGATATGCATGCCCTGGATTCCATGTTATATAACTTCTTGCTTTTCCCAGGACCATGCTCTTTCACACATCTGGGCCTTTGCAAATACTGTCCTCTTTCAATACTCTTCCCTTGCTTACCTTACCCAAGGTAAGAGGCAGCTTACTAAGCACAGATTCCATGAATGGATTCCTCACATACTGTATTTACTAATATGGAGAATGACCAAATAAGGAAAACAATGAATTTCCGTGTACTCCACACCAATATGCTGAGATTACAGCAAGAAGCTCTTCTGACCACTAAAATTTAAATGCCCCTGCCCTCCCCTACTGCCCCCCCCCCGAAAACTTGCCTTTGCCCTGCCCTGTTTCATGATCTCTCTTGATCATTTCAATTTTGTCTGAGTTATGTTCATGAGCTCAGCATGACAGAGTAACTCAAAGTGATTAAAGTAACAAGCACCTCATTCATTCTCTATCTGTCCATATTCTATTACTTTACACTGTGCTTGGATCTATTATAAATGAAGCATCTTAAGTCCATGCATACCATGAATTGAGGCTTTGGGAAAACTAGTTTTTAACCCTGTTTTACTCTACTTTCTGTTAATAGCCATTTCTACTTTGTACATGGAAACTATGTGGTGTTTTCCCTCCTTAATCTAGATTCATAGCTGGAGGAACTGGTAATGACTTAATGATTCTAACGGAGTAGAACTTTGTGTTTGATAATCATGTACTCCCAGACAATCTTTGCCCAGGATCCTGAGAATCTTTATAAAATGTCAAGCCTGGCCCCCTACAGCCAAAACTACAAATAAGGATGGGTCAAGGGAACATAATGCTTTTATATCCTGTTGACTCTCCTTTACTTACACCTTGAACATGTACTTATAAGCAGTAGTCAAAGCAGTTACAAACCCTCCCTTCATTTTAGATACATGTTCTTTAGATACATGTTCTTTGACGTACTGATCCCAATATGTCATTTGAAAGGAGACAGGTGCTGAGGTTTGACATCTTTCCAGTCTTCTCCAAGTTTTATCTACCTTCCTTTACTCATAATTTGTTTGCTTCCACTGTTTTCATTTGTAGTCACATCTTTCCATCTGCAA